GGGCAGCTATAAAGATAAGCAACAGATGCTGTTGGACCCAGAACACATACAAAGATCAGAGAAGTGCAAAGGGATGGTGCTTAGCAATGGGGGAGTCAGATTTAGATGCTCAGACTGACATGGTTTCAGTTGATCTCCAAACACTGAGGCCAAGTACCCAGAGTCACGCTACAGCCCTGGTTTTTGTACTGGCTACATTGCGGAGTCACCTGGGGGAGCTTTAAAAAATACTGATAACTGAGTCCTTCTCCCAGACATTTGGATGTGACTGAACTGGGATGTGGCCTGGGTATCACTTTTTTGTTTTTTAAGCTTAAAACTTGGAATTTTTGGTGAATTCAGATGTTTAATCCCATATCCTCTCCATCCTATTGTGTTGCCTCTACACTAATAGATTCTTTTCTCAATTTAATTCCATGTTTTTGTGCATAAACTACGTGGTACAAAGACTACACAATAAAGTCTCTCTCCCACCTGTCTCCTGGTCCTCCAGCTCCTCGACTAGAGGATAGTTTGTGAGTCTACACAGATATGTTTATTTTCAGTACCTTTTCATACATTAATGATGAACTTGTATGCATCTCATGTTTTTGACTTCACTTTACCTAAGAAGAAATGATATTTGACAAAGCACTGTTCAGCCTTCCTGTTTATTTCTAGTTGTCATCCAAGTTCCTTGTATACTGAGATTCCTAGACAGTCTCTCTTTTTGTTAGGCTCAGATCAGTCCTGTGTGAGGCCAGAGACAGCCATGTAAAAGCTGGTACTTATATTTATATCCATCAGACCACCCTTGGCTGACTCTGGCCAGAAGCTCTGTCTTTTCCTCCGCCAAAACTCTATTACATATAAAATGCACACGTTTGACTCTCAATTATAGACTTTTCCATTCTGTCTTAATAGTTTTATAGGTTGGTTTTATATCTCTGATTAAATAGTCAATCTCTCAGGGGCAAGAACCACACTTGTGTTTCTTTTGTGTTTGTTATAGCACTGAGAAAACTGTCCTGAATATTTTAAGGTTTTTAAAAATAAATGTTTGCTGATTGATTTCTTTTTGGGGGCTGTGGAACGTAAATTATATGGATGTCTCATCACACTTCAACATTTGTGTGTGTGACCATGTGTCTTATATGAGAGAGACAGAGAGAGAGAGATGTTGACAGAGAGGGATCTGAGAATCAATAAATAATAAACTCCAGGCATGCAGTTTGGAGCCAGAAAAGGCAAAGACAGAAGTCTCAGCCTTATGTGAATCACTCACCCTCAGTTTGTCCTGTGTAAATTGGGGCTTACACAGTATCTACTCCAATCACCTGGGATTGGGAGCTTCATAAGAGGTAATACATACTTGGACCACCTTGTGATTATTATCTGGTCCACATGAAATAGGACCAGAAGAGGGAAGTTGAGAAAACCCTCTAGAATTAGTGTATGGAGAAGGTATGATAGCTGGCATGATCCACTGGGTTTGGTGCTCTCTGCCTCGGGCCAGTGGGTTCTATAGCACTGGATTATAGGATGTCCAAGTGTTTCTGAGCCACAGGCATCTTCCTCTTCATCCCTCACTCCTAGCTGAAGCCATCAATTCCATCTCAGACTTCAAAACATCTAAAACCATAGCCTGACTCCCCATCCCAGACTCACTTTGGTTCAGGCCTTGTTCTTACAGCTTCAGTCTCTTTCTGTCTCTTGTCTCTGACCTTTCCCTCTCCTTCCCCTCCATCCACATGGAGGACAGGTATTGCTCCAGAAAAGCAAATATGATCACAGATTCTTTAAGCAGCTCTGTTGGATCTAAATTTACACTCAAACCTATAAATCTTTGCTGTTTCTATATCTAAAGATGGAAAGCACAGTTATGAGACTATTGTAATCAAGTGAGAGATGTTGGATGTTTGAACTAAGATAGATGGGAGAGATGGGAAAATATTTGAGAATAATATATAAAATGATAACTCCTGTGTATTATTATACAAAATGTAAATGATGGTTATCTCTAAGATTTCTTCTCTTCATTTATCCAACAAATATTTATTGCATGCCTACCATGTGACAGGCATCATTCTAGGCACTGTGGATATGAAATATGAAGGAACAATAGATACAGATCCTGACCTCTTGTAGCTCACAGTCTAGGGAAGAGGGAAAGAATACACAGCAAATCAACAGCAACTCAATCAGGGCCACATGATAGTGACTTGGGGAACTATTTGGGAAGAGCTGGTCAGGGCAAAGTCCTCTGAGGAGGTGATATTTAAGCTGGATCTCAGTGAGGAGGAAGAGTCAGCTGGAAGCAGATCTGGAGAAGAATATTCCAAACAGAAGATAAAGAAAGTGTGAAGGCCTTTGGGTAGGAAAGAGTTTGGCATTTTTGAGGAATGGTGAAATGAGGGAAAGTGGTATGGGATGGGTGGTAGGGGAGGCAGGGGTCATAAGACTTAGTGATCATTGTCAGGAGTTTGAATTTTATTCTAAGATTGGAAGCCATTAAATAAATATCTTTGACCCAGGGAGAGACATAGAGTGGCTTATATAGGCATAACTCATTTTATTAGCTTTATTGAACTGCTCAGATACTGAGTTTTTTTTTTTAACAGATTGAAGGTTTGTGGCAACCCTGCATAGAGCAAGTCTATCAGCATCATTTCCCCAACAGCATTTGCCCACTTTGTGTTTGTGTCTCTGTCACATTTTGGTAATTCTAGCACTATTTGAAATGTTTTCATTATTATTAGATTTGTTATGGTGATCTGTGACCGGTGATTACAACTTGCTAAAAGCTCAGATGATGGTTATCATTATTTAGCAATAAAGTATTTTTTAACTAAGGTATATACATTTTTTTAGACGTAATGCTATTGCATACTTAGGACTATAGTATAGTGTAAACATAACTTTTACATGCACTGGGAACCAAAAATTAATTAGACTTGCTCTATTTCAATACTCTGGAACCAAACCCTCAATATCTCTTAAACAGGTCACTTTGGCCCCTGAGTGAAGAAGAGATTCTGGGGTCAGGGTGGAGGCAGGCATGGATGGAAGCAGGGGGTAAGGTAGGATGATGATGTGGTATTGTCTCTGGCAGAAACACTGGTGGCTTGGCTAGGAGGTGTCTAAAGACATGGAGAGAAGTGGTCAATTACAGAATCTATTTTATGGGTCAAATTGACTGCTTGTTCATGGATTGGCTGGATATGAAGGTAAGTGGCAGGAAGGAATTCAGGATAACTTAGGGTAAATGACTTAATTGATATTTGGTGAGACAAGTGAGAAAGGAATAGATTTGGAAAGTAAAGTTGAGTTCAGCTTTGGACATATTAAATGTGAGATGCTAGTCACTTCAGTGGAGATGACAAATGGTAGTTGGAGAGGTAAGTCTGGAACTCCAGGAGAGGTCCTCACCATAGATTTACATTCGTGAGTCATCAGCAGGTAGATATAACAGTCATGGGGCTGGGAGAGACCACCCAGGAAGAGAGCCTAACTAGATCAGAAAAGAGGGTGGAGGACAGTCCTGGAATATGCCAGCATTTACAGTGAGGGGCTAAGGAGCTTGGGAAGTGAGCTGAGAGGGTAACCAAGAGGGTGGAGTTCCCAGGTAGAGAATCAATCCCAGGTAGAGAATGTGTGGGGGATGTGGTAAGCTGTGCCCAACCAACATCCCTGAGAGGTGGGGTAAGATAAGGGCAGAAAAGATATGAGAACACAGGATTTGGCAACATATAGGTCATTATGGTGACTATGTCAAAAGCCATTTGGGACCCAAGCCTGACTGGAGTACAGGCAAGGAGGGGTGAGGAGGTGTAGTTGGCAAGGGTACAGAGCGTTCAAGAAGATTTGCTGAGAGGCTGGATCATGGATGTTTCATTTTTTCTGTTTGTATATCCTTATTTTCCAACAATGAACATTTATTACTTGTATGATAATAATTATAAATACATTGCAAGGAGCACCCCACTCTTTATGAGAGAAGGAGAACTCCTCCATAGAACACCTTCATCTTCTCTACTCCAAACCTGGCCTTGCTTTTTGCCACAAGCACCACCTGTGTCTGCCTCAGTCAGTTTTTCATTCTTGCCAGCTTCCATTATATATAATATACTTGTAGTCTGGTGCCTGGCATTAGCTCTGGCTGAGGCTCCCACTTCTGTCAGCATCCATAAGCTACCCCTGCCCCCCGACACACATGTCAAGGATCATTTGGTTACACACTTATCACCACCCATCCAGTTTCACCCATGCATAAGAGCCACAGCTGCAGACAAAGCTCCTTTCCTACCTCCTACTTCCACAGCTCTTACAGTGGCAGTGTAGGATAATAGAAAAAAGAATAGGATCTCAAAGTCAGACAGATGTAGGTTCCCTTTCTCCATCTGCCACTTACTAGTTGTGTGACCTTGGGCAACTCTCTTATGAGCGCCGTGCCTCAGTTTCCTCATATATAGAACTAAGTTAATAAATCCCACATCCTGTCAGTTTGGCGATGCCTGGCATAAAGTAGTAGCAACTGCTATGGCTCATTTTGCTTCAGCGTTGCGCGAGCGTGTTAAGTCACAGTAGATGAGAACGAAGATGCTTCAGAAATGTGACCCGGCATTGGGGGCCCCTCACAGGACCCGGAGTTATCCTCCTGTGTCTCCTGGTACAGGGCATGTGCTGGTCGGTTACCCGTCTTTCCAGTCTCCCCACACACCGGGTCTGTGAAGACGCGCCCCCTACCCGTAGCTGAGCTTGACGCGGCGGTGGCTCATGCGCCTTTCCGCCCCAGCCTGAAGCCACGGACCACACGTCCCATCCTAGCCTCGCGGCCCCGCCTCCCGCCCCGGGCGTGCCCCTTCAGTCTGCCGGCTCGGGTGTCGGAGGGGCAGCGCCCGCAGGATTTGCGCGCTGATTGGCTGCGCGACTGCGGTGGGCGGCCCGTGGGCACACACACCCTTTGCGCTCAGCCAATGGGCACGCGCGCGTCACTGACCCGGCGGCCCGCGAGCCGGCAGCCCCTCAATAAGCCACATTGTTGCACGAAACTCCGGCGCAGGAGTCCCAGGTCGCAGCTAACACACCGTGTCACCACGTCGGGAAGATCCGCGGGCTAGAGCAGCGCGTGTGTGAGCCGGACAGGTCCTATCGTCTTAGCAGAGCTGGGCTGCGATTCTTCCCAAGTTGAGCCTTAGTGATCCTGTGGCTGAAGTTAGCGCCTTGACCGTGGTGCAATCCGACACGTCGCCGGGAGTGATTCTTGGGCGCCTTCTAGCAGTTGTGACTCCCCAAACCTGTTTCTAGAGACCTGAGACCCTCCAGCCGGGCGCGCCAACGCCGTTAGCCTTCTTTGTGTGCCGCTCCGAAACACCGCTCCTGTCTGGGCCGCCAACCCCGGGTAAAAAAGCAGTTCGACCGCGCCACCCTCCTTCCTCGCACGCGTTTCAGCCTCGGTTTCTTGACTCGGCACCGCCAGGCCGCAGCAGGATGATCGCCTCGCATCTTCTCGCCTACTTCTTTACGGAGCTCAACCATGACCAAGTGCAGAAGGTAAGGACGCTGGGTTAGGGCCGTCTGGCTCGCTCTGACAAAGTTGCGTGGTCCCCATCATCTCCGGGGTCCTGGCCTGCAGTAATTCTAACCTTGACCCTACGGACGCACATTCCGGGCTGAGGACGCTCTAAAAGTCCTTGTGGCCGGGAAACTCCTGTGCTCCAGGAGCCACGTCCGCTAGGCACCGGCAGGCATGTGCGCGCGAGTGAGAAGCCTGGGCTCGCGCACCGCGCGGGTCTTTCCCTTCCTGCCACCCTGCGCGCGCTCGCGCTTTTTTTTTTGTTCTTTCCTGGAGGGGCGGGTCACCCGGCACGTAGTCCTAGACTGATGGCCCCACGTGGGAGGAGCCCCTCTTTCGCCGCCCGAGTTCCGGCAAGAGCACGTGCGGAGAATCGTGGCTGGGGGAGGAGGCTCCGCTGGCTGTGTGGGGCTGCCGGGGGCCTCCCATGCTAAAGGACAGCGTTTGGGGGACGCGTTCCCCATGGCGTTTCTCACGGCCTTGCCGAGGTGGGCTTCGAGGGAAGCGAACCAGGGAAGGAGCTGGGCAAGGGGCTGAGGAACCTCGCTTGCCGCGCCCGCTCCCCAGAACTACGGCCCCCGAAACTGAGTCTCCGCAAGGGGCGTACATCCCTCTCTCACTCCCATCACCCCCCACCAGCCTTGAGACTGACCTGCCTTGAGACCCCCGGGACCCGCTTCCAAGTGGGGGTCGGACTTTGGATGTTACATCTGGTTTCTTATAAGTTACTAGGAAGGGGCCAACACCCGCGCTCCCCCCTCCCCCTGCGCCTTGCCTACTTTCCCGTCTTTTATGAAATTTTTTGTCGTTCCTGAAAACGAGTTTCTTCCTGCCGTAAGCTCCGACCTGTCTGTGCCCACCTGGCTCTTAGCAGCCCCCTAGTCCCGAATTCTGCACTCCTGGGGCTGGTCATTTACATAAAGAGTCTCTGGCCCCGCCTGGAGCCTAGCTCCTGGTGCCTCCGGGTAGGGCTGGGCTGGGCTGTGCCCAGGAGTGCTAACTGGGGAGAACTGGGTTTCTGAAAAGCTCGGGATTCCAGGATTGGCTCAAGTACCAGGCTAGGAAAAGAGGGAATAGGCTGGGGCGGGGTTGGGGGGGGTGTCCAGAGCTGTTAGGCAGTAGCGGAGCGTTTCTCAATTACATACTTGCAATTTCTGTGTTTTAGTGGGAACGCATTTTTGGGAAAATGTCTTGACATTGTCGTTCGATGGGGCGATCTGTTCGTACTCCCGTTATGGGGATCCTGAGAGCAAGGGAGAGGATGGTGGTTACCATTTTGGTGTTTTCAGAGGTAGCAGATGACCCCCCAAATAAAGAAAGATTATTACCCGTGTTCAGTTAGAAGAGGGAGCAGACGGTGGCTGGTTTAGTTGAGTTTTCTCTGCTTATTAAGTGCTGTTTCTTTCTCCTATTGTAGGTAGCTCTGTTCTACAGTTCCGTTCAGTTTACTTAAGAAGTGTGTGTGAGCCGGCAAGGTCTTGGCAACTGCTTTGAGCTTCTTTCCCCAAGAAGTGAGTTAACCTTTGGGGAAGTCTGTCATCTCTTGGCGAGTCCTAAAATACAAAGCCGCAGGACCATTAATCCTGGGGAGGTTTGCTCAGTTGTGTGAATATGCCCCAGGACATTTAAATTCTTTTACAGATTTGCTCTTCCCCAGTCCAGAGTTAGGAGACTAGGACTGGAACTGTGGAGTTGTACACTTGCTGGCCTGGAAGGGGTTGTCATTTCTTTGGTTCCATAGTGAATGAAGAATTAGCCAGCGTTCTAATCTCTGTTTTGTGGTTTATGAATCTCAAGATCCTGAGCAAGGCACTTTGCCTGTTTGGACTGCCGGTTTCTTTTTGTGAATCGAATGATAGCGTTCTAATCTCTGTTTTGTGGTTTATGAATCTCAAGATCCTGAGCAAGGCACTTTGCCTGTTTGGACTGCCGGTTTCTTTTTGTGAATCGAATGATAGCAGTGGCCTTGTCTCCTCTATGGAATTGTGATGATTAAGCACAGCAAAGTGAAGAGGTCCTTCTTGCAGGCTTCTCTTTTCTACCCTGTTACTACCTTTCAGCCTGTTAAGAGTGTGGGTGTGTAGCGGGGTGGGGCGGTGGGGGTGGGGGTGGGGGAACACTTGGGTGTATTTCCTCTAAATCACCAGTGGGGGCAGAATTGAGTCAGGCTTTCAACTCATCAGGTATCAGAACCTAGGATTTAGCCTCCTGGCTTAGGTGAGCAAAACTGTTTGATTCCAGCTGCAATTCGATAGGACCTATATAGCAAGAGAACCAGAGTATTTTGGAAACATCTTTTCAAGTTTCTGCTAGAAGGAAGAATTAGGAGAGAAGGATGAAGCTTGAATTTAATTTTAATTGTTTTTTTTTTTAAAGGCCTTGATTTGGACTCTGAAGTCCCAATCATCTTACATGTTCTGGGGCTCCATCAGGATCACTTGTCTCCTGATGGGCAAGCCCAGTGATTTGCACCTTTAGGAAGAGAGTAAGGGTTATATGCTCACTTTGCTGATTGACACTTTGAAACTCAAGAGCAAACACATTTAGCACTTACTGTGTCCGGGATACTGTTTTAAGCTCTTTACATATGTTACTCATTAATGTTCACAATAGTCCCATGAAGCAGATACAGTTATTTTCATTGTCCCTATTTTACTGGTAAGGAACTTGTCCAAGGTCAGTACATTTTTTTCAGAGCTGGGAATTGAAGCCATGCGGTTGGGCTCCAGAGTCCCGTGTACCTGACTGCACTCACCTGCCTCTGGCAATGTTAGTGAACACTCCATCCTGGCCTCTGTCTGTGTTCACTCGTGGATGCTGGCAGCACCCTCACCCAGCAGGTCCAGAGATGCACCTAGCTCTTCTCTTGGTTAAATTAATGGCACCAGCATTAATTAGTTAAAATAATGGCTAATCTGGTGGGGAGATCTGGAGGCACTTCATGCACTTTCCTTTATAATTGCTACACCTTTGCCAGCTGGTCTCTGGGTTATTTCAGAGTCTTCTTAGGGTTTCTCTGTTTCCACTCTCTTTCTGGAGCCAGTCTAGGTCATTTCAGAAGCCTTTCAAGACTTTGCATAGTGAATGCTCCTGACCCCAACCCTGAGCTCAGCTTCATCTCTCTCTTCATTCCGCCAAAACTTGATTCGTTCCTCTAACTGTTATACCTGTTCACACCAGGAGCTTCTGCCCTATGCTGGCATTTGTATCATTCCATCATACACTGGAGTTGGTAATTTTTAGTTCTGATTCCTTCCTCAGGGAAGGGAGAATCCTGGCTGTTCAACTTTGTAGCCAAAGTTTTTGACAGCTGGTTAGGTGCTCAGTGAGTGCAAGAGTGAAGGAGGAGACCTTTTGGAGACAGAAGCTGAGCAAGGGCTACAGGAAGTAGAGGAGGGGAGCACTAATACTGGGAGGAAGGGCTGGGGAGAGAGGGAGACCCTTAGGAGAAGCAGTGGGCTAGTCATTCATCAAGGCCAGAGGCTGATCCTGAGAAAGGGAGGGAGAGAAGAAAAGAGCTTGCCCTGGCCTCCAGCAATTTAGGCTTTATGTACTGTCTGTGGAGAGCTAGAGGCTTCTTTTTATCAATGAGGTATAATTAGTATGTAAGATAGAGAATTTGTGTCTCTTAGGAATGAGAATAACGATTAACCATATAAACGAAGTGTATATGCTTTCCTTTAGCCACTGACCAAATTGCTCTAACACACTAGACTGGTGACATTTTCATTCCACTCCTGGAATATAGATAGCTCACTTGGGCTCCTTGCTGTATGTATGAGGGGTGGCTTTCAATTCTGGACTTAGGAGAGGGGGAATATCTAGGAAGCAGAAAGGTTCATCAGAGCCCTGGAGTCAAGACAGACACGAGTTTTAATGGTTTTTGAGAACCTACTGTAGTTATAAAAACTCTGGATACTATGTGGGAAATTGAAACTAAGACGTCTTTCAGTTGTCTGGTGAAATAAGGCTCTAGGAAAAGATACTTTACAGCCACTAAAGGGTGGTGTAGAGTCCCTTGGGGTGTGGCAGTGGAGAGGAGTGCCCTGGGGTGGGGAGTTAGGGACCTCAAGGGAACCATTACTGATAGGTTTGGAGCCTGGCTCTGTGCCCTTAATCTTCAGATAAGGGATTAAAGTATCAGGAGTAAACTACTGATTAAAACCTTAAAGAGTTTTTTGATTGGGTTCACTGACAGATACAATTCATCTCATTTGTTCATCTTGTAACTTAATCCTTAGTATCCTAATACTGTTCCTTCCCTGTTCTAAAGACAAGTGATGATGGTAGGAATATTTTGTAGCTTTTGCTAGCCATCCACTTGTTTCGTATTGCCAAACTTCTCTTTCAGAGAGGCTAGGAAGCACGTTTTTCTTTACCACTGAATGATTTGAAATTCCGTGAGGTTCTTCAGACAAAGCCAACATTTTTTTTTTAACATCACTTTTTAAAGTTGAACTTTTCTAGTACCCTGAGGAGTCTGAGGGCAGTTAGGGGCCCTTTCCAAGGGGAATGAAAAGAACACAGACCTCAACAGTTTTCTCAAAAAATCTGGCAGCCAGAGTAAGGAGATCTGATGTACTGAAAGAACTCAGGAACCCCAGAAAACTGGCTTCCTTTGTTCAGATACTTCCAGTATGAAAGGCAACTCTTGCTAATGGATTCCTCATTATCATTGTTGAGTTTTGAAGTCAGCAAGTTTGGTTTGTTTTCCAACACTGTTGCCTTTCCAAACAAGTGGGGATGGGGGTGTGGCAAATCAAGTCCCAGAGCCCTGTGGCTGCATCTTAAAACACCACAAGCCCTGCTTCCTTCCTTTGGAGTGGCTGCTTCTGCTTACTTTAAAGCAGGTCTCTCAACCTCTGTGCTTTTGACATTTTGGGCTGGGTAATCTTTTGGGAGGGGCTATCTCAGGCTATCACAAAGCACAAGAATTTCCATTGTACCCAAATTTATAGGGGAAAACCTGTGGTTTTTT